TACCAAACAACTTTTTTTGTCACAGCATGTCCCAGTGCCACATTCTGAAAATCCAATCAGAGTGCAAGTTTTAGGATCACAGCATTTTGGAAATGTACAAGTCTAAAAGCAAATATAACAAATTAAGTAAGCTATAAGAATTTTCAGTCAAATACAATTTTATTTATTTTCAAAAGAAAAAAATAGTATCTCTAATGTTAATTGAAATCACACTGTATGTTTTTTTTACTTCTGCATCTATTTCAACACCACTTGAACTTAATATGCTTTTTATTTAATAATAAAAGATGATAATGAATTAATACAGTATTATACAATAAAGACATTTAACTTCTGAAAAGTAAGGAAGCATTTTGAACCCTCTTTATTAAGTATAAATATATATAATGTAAATTTTCAGTATCCTTTCTAAATTTAATATAACAAGAAGTTTTCCTTATTATCAAGCACTTGGACATATCATCTTTAAATTATATATCAATTCAATTCATGGATATAAAAATTCATTATTGAAATGATGTTTCAAAAGAGCAAGTTTGATAAACATATTTCTTTAGCTACCCAATTTTACTCTAAATAATAACTCTTGGATTTGAGTTATTAGGTTAATTTCATGGATATAATTGTGTCCACCTAACAAACATGCCAACTTGGCTGGGCTGTAATGCTCATTGGCAGTTATGTAATGCTTTAATTAGGTAATTATTTAATGATATAACTAAAACCATGAAGTAACTAGCCCATGAGTTACTAGAGAATTAAAATGAAATACTATACCCTCAGGTCACACAAGCACTCGTCTGTCAGTTTGGAGTACTGTGGTGGCTTGTGAGTTACTGTGATTCTGGAAGCTATGCACTGGTATTTTAAATACCAGCAGGGTCACACATGGTGGACAGGTTTCAGATGAGCTTCCAGATGAAGACAGACTAGAAAGAAAGAGTGACGAACTACTTCGGAATATTTAATCACTGAAAACCTTACAAATATCGTGTCAGATATAGTGTCAACTGTTGGAGAGCTGCCTCCTCAAAGTAGATTTGACTGTGATGATGCGAATAGAGTAAAGCACATGGGAGTAAAGCTTGAGGGATCTTCATTTGCTGATAGGGCACAACTCAAAAGGAAGACAAATAGCTGTAAACATCCACTAATAATCAGAACACAGACTGTATGAAGTATGAATCAAGGAAAATTAGAAATTGTCAAAAATGAAAGGAAACACATAAACATCAAAATCTTAGGCATTAGTGAGCTGAAATAGACTGGTATTGGCCATTTTGAATCTGACAACCACACGGTTTACTATGCCAGGAATGACAAGTTGAAGAGGAATGTTGTTGTGCTCACTGTCAAAAAGAACATATCCAGATCAGTCATGAAGTACAACGCTGTCTGATAGAATAATATCCATGGGCCTACAGGGAAGATTAGTTAATACCACTATTATTCAAATTTATGCACCAACCACTAAAGACAGTGAGGATGAAATAGAAGAATTCTATCAACTTCTTCAATCTGAAATTGATAAAATATGCAATCAAGATGAATTG